CCCAGCAGAGGTAGCCTAGGCTGTGGTTACTGGCATATGGCTACAGAGAGTGTTGGAGAACAGTGCAGCCTGGCCTGTACAGGTAGTGGATGATCTGCAAGACAGGCTCAGCCATACCTTTTACTACCATGCAGCCAGGGGCTGCTGACTTCTAGGACTTCATTATTCTATGATTCAGGACCACAGTGGAGTATGATCCCTGATTCCTGATTTGGATGCATCTGAGGGACAAGGGGCGTGGTCTCTGAAGTGGAATAAAATAGGCTGGGCATGGTGGCTTACACCTGTATTCCCAGTACTTTGGGAGGCAGAGGCGGGAGGTCTGCTTGAGTCCAAGAGTTCAAGACCAGCCTGTGGAACATAGCAAGACCCTGTCTCTACGATTTGAAAAAAAGTGGAATAAAATTATAACATAACTATGTGTTTCTGAGATATGGGGGAGCCCCACTGTTCTTTATGGGTTGTGAGAAGGATCAGTCTCTCCTCCTACCTGGCACAGATGAGATCAATCATCTTGGGCCTGGCTGTACCTGAGAACCTTTAGGAAGTGGTTGGAATTCTCTGAATTCACTGCCTCCACCTCTTCCCAAATCAATCCTGTTATCCCATTGCCATTTTCCTTTGCTATGCAACACATTTTGTTAACTTCTTGTGCTTTGTCTGATAAAGAGAAAACACCAAGTAAACAAGCCCAGGCATCATGCAGCATTGACTTTAACTGAAGCCCCAGATAATGCTATGCTTCTCCTCCACTGGGTCTTTTCACTATAGAACACCCATTGCCCTTCCCTTCTCTGGAAACCTCCCCTATTTCCCAAGCGTGCTGCTCTTTATCAGATCTACATGCCCATGTTATGTAGCATTCCACCTTGTCCCATTCATTATTCCTGACTTGAAGCCAAAATTCTGTGAGTCCAGTGCTCCTCATGTATGCGTTTTGTGCTCTCTGTTCACCCCACCACTCCTGTCATGTTTGAAATGCTAGCATGAGATCCTCCTAGAGATGTCCATCAAAAGAGTTGGTAAGAGGCCCTGGAGAGAAGGGTCAGGACTGGGATTTGTGGTTTGACAGTACCCAGAACAGGAGAGGTTGGGACCACTGAAAACCAGAACAGATGGTAAAACCATGGGATAGCACCTACTTATAGTTGGCAGAAAGTAGAGAAGCTGAGTAGTAGTGCTTGTGAAGTATAAATGTTCACTGCTGTGGTAGGTAGCTAAGGGAAGAATTCAAATTATTTTTATTGTTACTGTCATTTTAGAGACAAATTTTTGCTCTGTTGCCCAGGCTAGAGGGAGTGGTGTAATCATAGCTCCCTGTAGTTTCAAACTCCTGGGCTCAAGTGATCCATCTCAGTCTCCTCAGTATCAGGGATGACAACTGGCTAATTTTTTAATGTTTGTAGAGACGGAGTCTTGCTACATTGCCCAGGCTGATTGTGAACTCCTGGCCTCAAGAGATTCTCCCACCTTGGCCTCCCAAAGCACTGGGATTATAAGTGTGAGCCACAGCACTTGGCCAAGTTCAAATTATTAATGGCTAGTGGTCCCCAGTGTTACAGATGCCAAATAGTAAGATGAAGAAAAGTATGATCTGTTTCAGCCAGGCATGGTGCCTCATGCCTGTAATCCCAGCACTTTGGAAGGCCAAGGTGGGTGGATCACCTGAGGTTAGGAATTTGAGACCAGCCTACCCTGGCCAACATGGCAAAACCGCATCTCTACTAAAAATACAAAAATTAGCTGGGTGTGGTTGCGGGTGCCTGTAATCCCAGCTATTTGGGAGGCTAAGGCAGGAGAATTGCTTGAACCTGGGAGGTGGAGGTTGCAGTGAGCCGAGATCATGCCATCTTGGGTGATAAACGAGACTCTGTCTCAAAAAAAAAAGAAAAAAGGCCGGGCGCAGTGGCTCACGCCTGTAATCCCAGCACTTTGGGAGGCCCAGGTGGGTGGATCACAAGGTCAAGAGATCAAGACCATCCTGGTCAACATGGTGAAACCCTGTCTCTACTAAAAATACAAAAAATTAGGTGGGCATGGTGGCGTGTGCCTGTAATCCCAGCTACTCAGGAGGCTGAGGTAGGAGAATTGCCTGAACCCAGGAGGCAAAGGTTGCGGTGAGCCGAGATCGCGCCATTGCACTCCAGCCTGGGTAACAAGAGTGAAACTCCGTCTGAAAAAAATAAATAAATAAATAAAAGGATAGGTTGTTGTTAACTATGGTAGAAAGAGGTTTAATAATGCAAGGGTATGAAGTTAGCCCCAGCTGGCCTGTAAGATGAGTTAGAAAAAGACCTCTCCCCAAGTCTGGTGAACATAACTCCCAAGCATAGTTTGGTGAACAAATAGTGTCTTTTTGAGGAAAAAAGAGACCCTTTCCTTCATCCCTAGCACACATGGAAGGATTTTAGGCTCTAGTTCCTCTACTTCTCAGCCAGATGCCCTCTACTTTTTGCAGGAGCATTCTTGCCTGGAGCGTAAGGCTAATTTCCTGATCTCCCAATCACTGTCTATTCTCTTTCCTGGTATAAGATTCCATTAGATAAAGACATTAGTACATTGATTTATACTATGAATAATTCTTTCTAGCTGGACACTGTGGCATGTCCCTGTCGTCCCAGCTACTTGGGAGATAGAGGCGGGAGGATCACTTGAGGATAGCAAGACTCCATGTCTATAAAAATAAAAAAATTAGCCAGGCATGGTCCCAGCTATATAGGAGGTGGATCACTTGAGCCCAGGAGTTAGAGGCTATAATGCACAATGAACGCACCTGTGAATAGCCACTGTACTCCAGCCTGGGCAACATAGTGAGACCCTGTCTTTATTGAAAATTATTTCTCATCCCTGCCTTTTCCTTGAAATCAGAGTTCATTTCACACTAACTCAATGATTCTTTTTTTTTCTTTAATTTTTTTTGGAGAGATGGGGTCTCCTGGCCTCAAGCCATCCTCCTGCCTTAACCTCCTAAAGTGCTGGGATTACAGGTGTGAGTCACTGCACGCAGCCCTAATTCTTTTTTAAAAGAGCTTTATTGAAATACAATTTACCATAAAATTTACCCATGTAAGGTATATAATTTAGTTTTTGTATATTTACAGAATTGTGCAACCATCACCAGAATCAATTTTAGAACATTTTCATCAACCGCAAAATATACCCTTTCAGGCCGGGTGCGGGGGCTCAAGCCTGTAATCCCAGCACTTTGGGAGGCCGAGGCGGGTGGATCACGAGGTCAAGAGGTCGAGACCATCCTTGTCAACATGGTGAAACCCCGTCTCTACTAAAAATACAAAAAATTAGCTGGGCATGGTGGCGCGTGCCTGCAGTCCCAGCTGCTCGGGAGGCTGAGGCAGGAGAATTGCCTGAACCCAGGAGGCGGAGGTTGTGGTGAGCCGAGATCGTGCCATTGCACTCCAGCCTGGGTAACAAGAGCGAAACTCTGTCTCAAAAAAAAAAAAAAAAGAAAGAAAGAAAAGAAAATATGCCCTTTCAATATCACTCTCCAGCCCTTCCCAATCCCTGACTACCACTAATCTGCTTGCTTTCTCTCTATATATTTGCCCATTCTGGATATTTCACAGAAATGGGATCATAATAATACGTGGTCTTTTGTGACTGGCATCTTCCAGTTAGCATAATGTTTTCAGGCTTCATCTATATAGCAGCATGCATCAGTACTTCATTTTAAATTTTTTTTGAATTTATTTATGTTTTTGAGACTGAGTCTTGCTCTGTCACCAGGCTGGAATGCAATGGTGTGATCTCGGCTCACTGCAACCTCTGCCTCCTGAGTTCAAGCGATTCTTCTGCCTCCCGAGTAGCTGGGACTATAGGTACCTGCTACCACGTCCAGCTAATTTTTGTATTTTTAGTAGAGACGAGGTTTCACCACGTTGGCCAGGATGGTCTCGATCTCTTGACCTTGTGATCCACCTGCCTCGGCCTCCCAAAGTGGTGGGATTGCAGGCTTGAACCACCACACTCAGCTTGCACAAAAATTCTGGATTTTGGCCAGGTGCAGTGGCTCACGCCTGTAATCCCAGCACTTTGGGAGGCCAAGGCAGGTGGATCACGAGGTCAAGAGATCGAGACCATCCTGGCCAACGTGGTGAAACCTCGTCTCTACTAAAAATACTAAATTAGCTGGGCGTGGTGGTAGGCGTCTGTAATCCCAGCTACTGGGGAGGCTGAGGCAGGAGAATCTCTTGAAGCCGGGAGGCGGAGGTTGCAGTGAGCCAAGGTCATGCTATTGCACTCCAGCCTGGGCAATAAGAGCGAAACTCTGTCTCAAAAAAAAGTTCTGTCCAATCATCCTGATTTTTTATTTCATTGCTTATGCTTTTGGTGTCATATGAAATGAATTATTGCCAAATGCCACCGCTGAGTTTTAGAACATTTTTTTCTTTTTTTTTGAGATGAAGTTTCGCTCTTGTTACCCAGGCTGGAGTGCAATGGTGCGATCTCGGCTCACTGCAACCTCCGCCTCCTGGGTTCAAGCAATTCTCCTGCCTCAGCCTCCCGAGTAGCTGGGACTACAGGCGTGCACCACCATGCCCGGCTAATTTTTTGTATTTTTAGTAGAGACGGTGTTTCACCTTGTTGACCAGGATGGTCTCGATCTCTTGACCTCGTGATCCACCCGCCTAGGCCTCCCAAAGTGCTGGGATTATAGGCGTGAGCCACCGCGCCCAGCCTAGTTTTAGAACATTTCTATCACTCTCCAAAATATCCTATATTGAATTCCTAATCCCATCCCAGGCCAACAATCTGTTTCCAGACTGTTTTATTTATTTATTTAGAGACGGAGTTTCATTCTGTTGCCCAGGCTAGAGTCCAATGGCATGATTTCCTTCACTGCAAACTCCACCTCCCGGGTTCAAGTGATTCTCCTGCCTCAGCTTCCTGAGTAGCTGGGACTAGAGGCATGTGCCACCATGCCTGGCTAGTTGTTGTTGTTTTTTTTTTTTTTTTTGAAGGAAAATTTGCATTGTTTTAATTATTTTTATGTAAACAGTGTACTTTTAACCCAGTTTCATGGCAAGTTCTTTAGCCTTTGCCTTTTCGAGCTTGGTGATGTGAGCCACAGACTTGGGACCCAAGACATTGCCTCCCCAGTGACAGCGGATCTCATCATATTTGTCATTGTAATTGGTGCGGATAGCTTCCACCAGCTTAGCCAAAGCACCTTTGTCTTCCACCTTTGTGAAGGCGACAGTGGTGCAGGTCTTCCTGTGGACTAGACATTCCAGTCTTGTCTTCCCCTTGATAATGCAGTAAGGGACTCCCATTTTACGACACAGGGCAGGCAAGAAGACAGCCAGCTGGCTCGAAGGACAGGTGGTCTCTTAGTGGGGACGTCCCCTTTGCCATTCTTCTATTCCTTTGTCTCTAGTCTATACTTATGGGCCAGCTTAAGCAGCTGAGTAGCTGTTTGGTGGTCCAGGGCCTGGGTGAACCGGATAATTGCAGGAGGCACTTTCAGCCGCTTATAGAGGATGGCTCTCTGCCGCTGCAACCTGATATAGCGGGGCCATTTCACAAAGCGGGTGAAGTCTCTTTTGGGCTGGATGTCCTGTCCATCTTGGGCGGCGGGAAGAGAGTACCTGGCTAATTTTTTGCGTTTTTAGTGGAGACGGGGTTTCGCAATGTTAGCTGGGCTGGTCTCGAACTTCTGCCCTCAGGTGATCCACCTGCCTCAGCCTCCCAAAGTGCTGGGATTACAGGGATAAGCCACCATGCCCGGCCTGTTTCCAGTCTTTATGTTTGTAATCCCAGCACTTTGGGAGGCTGAAGTGGGTGGATCACCTGAAATCAGGAGTTCAAGACCAGCTTGGGCAATACAGTGAAACCCTATCTCTACTAAAATACAAAAAAATTAGCTGGGTGTGGTGGTGTGTACCTGTAATCCCAGTTACTTGGGAGGCTGAGGCAGGAGAATTGCTTGAACCTGGGAGGCGGAGGTTGCGGTGAGCCAAGATCCCACCATTGTACTCCAGTCTGGGAGAGACTCCATATCAAAAAAAAAAAAGGAAGTTTGTCTTTTCATCTGTGTTGTTGCACTAAATCATTGGCTTTGACCAACTGAGGGACATTTTGATTGTTTTCAGTTTTTAGCTATTATGAACATTTTCAGGTACTTTGAATATTTGGAACAAATCTGTGTGGACATATGTTTCTATTTCTATTGGGTGTATTCTTTGGAGTGGAATTGCTGGATCATATGGTAAATTTATGGTTAACTTTTTAAGAAACTGCCAAACTTTTCCAAAGTGAGTGTACTATTTTATACTCCCACCAGCAGTGTATGAGGGTGTTCCAGTTTCTTCACATCCTCACCAACACTTGGTGTAATCTGTGTTTTTATTGTCGTTTTATGTATGTTTCTGTATAGTGTATTTATTTATTTACTTATTTATTTTTGAGACAGAGTCTTATTCTGTCACCCAGGCTGGAGTGCAGTGGCACAATCTTGGCTCACTGCAACCTCTGTTTCCCAGGTTCAAGTGATTCTCATGCCTCAGCCTCCAGAGTAGCTGGGATTACAGGCATGCACTACCATTCCCAGCTAATATTTGTATTTTTAGTAGAGATGGGGTTTCGCCATGTTGGCCATGCTGGTCTTGAACTCCTGGCCTCAAGTGATCCACTCACCTCAGCCTCCCAAAGTGCTGGGATTAAAGGTGTGAGCTATCATATCCAGCTGTGTGTAGTGGGCTTTTTTTTTTTTTTTTTTGAGATGAAATCTCACTCTGTCTCCCATGCTGGAGTACAGTGGCATGATCTTGGCTCACTGCAACCTCCACCTCCTGGGTTCAAGCCATTCTCCCACCTTAGCCTCCCAAGTAGCTGGGATTACAGGCCCCTGCCATCATGCTCAGCCAATTTTTATATTATTGTAGAGATGGGGTCTCACTATGTTGGCCAGGCTGGTCTTAAACTCCTCACCTCAGGTGATCCACCTGCTTCAGCCTCCCAAACTCTGGGATTACAAGCCTGAAGCACCATGCCCAGCCATGTTGTTTTTGTTTTTTGAGACAGAGTCTCACTGTGTCATCCAGGCTGGAGTGCAGTGGTGCGATCTTGGCTCACTACAACTTCTGCCTCCTGGGTTCGTGCAGTTCTCCTGTCTCAGCCTCCCAAGTAACTGGAACTACAGGCATGTGCCACCATGCCCGGCTAATGTTTGTATTTTTAGTAAAGACAAGGTTTCACCATGTTGGCCATGCTGGTGTCGAACTCCTGACCTCAAGTGATCTACCCACCTGGGCCTCCCAAAGTGGTGGGATTATAGGCGTGAGCCACCATGCCTGGTCCTGGCATGTTTTTAATTGTATTTCTCTAACAGCTAATAATGCTGAGCATCTTTTTATGTTTCTTAGCCATTAGTATATCTTTTTTGGTAAAATGTCTGTTTTCTTTTTGTTTGTCCAGCTTAAGACTGTTTTGTTTTGTTTTGAGACAGGGTCTTACCCTTTTGCTCAGGCTGGAGTGCAGTGACACAATCATGGCTCACTGCAGCTTCAACTTCCCTGGGCTCAGGTGATCCTACAACCTGTCTCCAGAGTAGCTGGGAATACAGGCATTTGCCACCATGCCCAGCTAATTTTTTTGTAGAGATGAGGTTTTCCTATGTTGCCCAGGCTGGTCATGAATTTGAGGCTCAAATGGTCCTCCCACCTCAGCCTCCCAAAATGCTGGGATAACAGATGTGAACCACCACGCCCAGCTAAAATTGTTTTTAAAATCTTTTTCTTGAGTTTCTGTGTGAAAGATACCAGTCCCTTATGAGGTATGTGATTAGCAAGTAGTTTCTTCCACTCTATGACTGTGACCTTTCATTTCTTTTTTTGAGACAGGGTCTCACTCTATTACTACTCAGGCTAGAGTGCAATGGCGTGATAATGGCTCACTGCAACCTGAAACTCCTAGGCTCAAGGGCTCCTCTCACCTCAGCCTCCCAAGTAGCTGGGTCTGCAGGTGTGCTACTATGCCAGGGCTAATGTTTTAAATATTTTGTAGAGAGAAATGTCTCTACAAACACCATCTTTGTTGCCTAGGCTGGTCTTGAACTCCTGGCTACAAGGAATCCTCCAGCCTCAGCCTCCCAAAGTGCTGGGATTACAGCATGAGCCACATCCAGCCTATGATTTTTCTTAATGATGTCTTTGTAGTACAAGAGTTTTTAATTTTAACAAAGTTATTTTTTGAGACAGTTTCACTCTTGTTGCCCAGGCTGGAGTGCAAATGGAGTGATCTCTGCTCACCACAACCTCCATTTCCCGGGTTCAAGTGATTCTCCTGCCTCAGCCTTTCAAGTAGCTGGGATTACAGGCATGCACCACCATGCCCGGCTAATTTTGTATTTTCAGTGGAGACGGGGTTTCTCCATGTTGGTCATGCTGGTCTCGGATCCGCCCGCCTCAGCCTCCCCAAGTGCTGGGATTACAGGCGTGAGCCACCGCAGCCGGCAACTTTTTTTTTTTAATTGTTCAAGCTTTTAGTGCTGTCTAAGAACTCGTTGCCAAACCCAAGGTCATAAAGATGTTCTTTTTGGTTTTCTTTGAGAATTTTTGTTTTTGGCTCTTATATTTAGTTTGGGATCCACTAAGTTGATTTTATGTATGTAGGGTCGCGTTCTTTCCGTTCCTTTTTCTTTTCATTTCTTTCCAGTCTTTTTTTTTTTTTGGGCACATGGATATTCAATTCTCCTAACTCCATTTAAATAGAAAGGATTGGGCAGGTACCTTTGGGCAGTGCAGGCTGCACAAGCACGGAGCGGCGCTGTCAGCAGTCAGACTACACGCGGTAGAGAGCCAACCATAGTGAGCAAGGCGCTCGACAGTGCAGAGAAAGGATGGACGATTACAGAGCGCCCTATACTCCAGTCAACGCTTTCTGGAGACTCCGTCTGCCCGGGCGGGGCTGTTCCCGCCAGGGCGGTACTACGACTCCCAGCATGCACCTCGCGGCAAGCCCTCGGTGGAAGCGGGACCCCAGACGGACCTGGGAGTGTGTTTGCAAGGAAGGGCCGAGCCACGGACTGTGGTACGGAGGTGTGCTCCTGCCCACCCTTTCTCCAGGCTGTGGCCTCCGCGAGGGCGGAGCTGGCCGCACCGCCGGCCGCGCGACTGCCCAGCTCAGACTCGGACTCCGCCTCTAGCCCGCCTCAGCCTACCTGTCGGGAGGTCCTGACTTGTTTCCTCCCTGAGTTTCCCGCGGGAACTAACTTGAAGAGGACCAACCGCAGCCCAGAGCTTCGCAGGCCCGGCCAACCAGAAGCGAGGTTGAGATCAGGGGCGGGCCGCGGGGAGAGAGCGTCCCATTTGTCTTGAAAAGCCTGGGCGTGTGGATTGGGAAGCCCGGGAGCTCGGCGGGGTGCGGAAGTGCCCAGGCCCCTTCTCCTGGGTTTGGGAGCTTGGGCGAGCCAGCTTCACCCTTCTGAAGTCCGCTTCAGGTGTCCGGGCTCAGCCTCGGTCACCATGTCCTGCCAAACCACCCCTCTGGGCTCCAGCTGTCTGGACCTGTGGAGGGAAAAGAACGACCGGCTCGTTCGACAGGCCAAGGTAACAAGGTTGCTGGGACCCTCTGTTTGCAGTCCCAAGATCCCTGAAAGCGGGTTTGCAGTGGATTTACCCCAACCGATGGGGAGGAGCTGAGCTTGACCAAAGAGCTAGAAGTGACTGGAGAATGCACCCCTTGCCACTGATGCAAGGGGAGAAAAACGGGCTGATCCTCAGTGATACCCCCTCCCCCATGTTTTGAGGTGGCTCAGAATTCCGGTCTGACTCTGAGGCGACAGCAGTTGGCTCAAAATGCACTGGAAGGTCTCAGAGGGCTCCTCCATAGTCTGCAAGGTAAGCGGGTCTTCCCCAGGATGATCAGTTCCCCTCCTAACCACAGCCAGAGACTCATTCCACTTCTGCATTTCTGGGATCGACAGAAGTACTGAGCGAGCAGGGAGTCTTGTTTAAGGCACAGAGGGCACTGGAGTGGAATCATACTTGTACAGGCAAATCCTTCTCTTCTTACACATGCAGAGTGGCATTTGAAAAGTGATTTCCAAGATGGTTTGATTTGGAGAACTTTTTTGCCCTTTCCAGACTTTCTGTCCAAAGGGTGGGTTCTTTTTTTTTTTTAATCCTTAGCTAATCGGCTGGAGGGTAGGTTCTTTATTGTGGCCATTTTGGTTGGAGGGTGGTGATCCCTGGGTTGGGATCTTATTTGGAGGATCTTCCATGGGAGAGCATTCTGTAAGACCAACATTGTTGCTCCAGGTCTCCCTGCAGCTGTTCCTGTTCTCCCCTTGGAGCTGACTGTCACCTGCAACTTCATTATCCTGAGGGCAAGCTTGGCCCAGGGTTTCACAGAGGATCAGGCCCAGGATATCCAACGGGGCCTAGAGAGAGGTGAGGGCTAGAGATTGTCCCCGACTTCCCTGCCAGCTTCAGTCTGGATTTCCGTTATCACAGGGGAATGGGAGGATCAACAAAATCTGTCACCTCCATGGAGAGAGGTGCCCTTCTCTGTGCTCCTCAGACCAGGTTGGGGTATTATTATTGTTGAGAGGAAAGCCCGAATGTATGCGGAGATGGAGGATGAGGTCCTACCTCAGCTATGTGTGTGTGTTTATACTCCACAGTGCTGGAGACACAGGAGCAGCTGGGGCCCAGGTTGGAACAGGGGCTCAAGGAGCTGTGGGACTCTGTTCTTCATGCTTCCATCCTTCTGCCGGAGCTGCTGTCTGCCCTGCACCGCCTGGCTGGCCTGCAGGCTGCCCTCTGGTTGAGCGCTGACCGTCTTGGGGACCTGGCCTTGTTGCTGGAGACCCTGAATGGCAGCCAGGTAATAGGGAAAGTGACCTGAAGCTGAGGGTCTCCTCACTCCTTCCTCCTCTGTTCTCTCCATCTGTAGTAGCATCATCATGTACTTGACAGGCAGCTGGGTTGGGGATCAGAAAACCTGAGTTCTCTCTGGGACTCTTGGGTGACCTTACCCTAGTTGGTCTCTCATTGTGGGGATTCTCTTAGGAGTGTTTTTGCTTTTTTTTTTTTGAGACAGACTTTTGTTCTTGTTGCCTAGGCTGGAGTGCAATGGCACGATCTCGACTCTGCAACCTCTGCCTCCTGGGTTCAAGTGATTCTCCTGCCTCAGCTCCGCAAGTAGCTGGGATTACAGGCATAAGCCACCACACCCTGCTAATTTTTGTATTTTTAGTAGAGACAGGGTTTCACCACATCGGCCAGGCTGGTCTCGAACTCCTGACCTCGTGATCCGCCTGCCTCGACCTCCCAAAGTGCTGGGATTACAGGCTTGTAATCTAGCCCTCTTGTAATCTTGCACTCTAGCCCTCCAGCCTGGGTGACGGGGAGACCCTGTCTCAAAAAAATTTTTTTTCTTTTAGTTAGGGATAGGGCTCCTGTGATCTTGCTGAAGTCACCTCTCAGCCTTAGTCTCAAGGCAAGTCACCTCTTACCTTGAGTTATTGGTAACTCAAATATGGTCCTTGCCTTGAGTGAGGAGGCTCGCTAGAATAGATCATCACTGACCCAGGTTTTTCTTCCTTTTTTTATCCTTGCCCCATAGCTATTTATCTCTTAGAATTGGGGAAAACCACAGGCATTATATGCTTTGTAAGGGTAGCTAGGCCTCTATCCTCAAGGATCAAGAGGACCCTTGAGCTCAAGGTCTAGCCAGTATAAACTGAGATAGGAGAAGATGGGGAGATTGTAGGCTTGGAGCTTCCGGTTGTCTTTCTTTTGCCAGAATGGAGCCTCTGAGGATCTGCTGTTACTTCTGAAAACTTGGAGTCCCCCAGTTGAGGAATTAGATGCTCCATTGACCCTGCAGGATGCCCAGGGATTGAAGGATGTCCTCCTGACAGCATTTGCCTACCGCCAAGGTCAGCTAGCAATCTGACTCATCTCTTCCTTCTTTAAATGGTTCTCTGGACTCATGCCCTCTCTCTTGTCCCATTCAGTTCCGTAGGCTTCTTGGACCCTTGTTCCCCATCATGACCCCTACTCTGTAGGCCTCTCCAAGCTTATGCCCTGATTGTCCTCAGGTCTCCAGGAGCTGATCACAGGGAACCTGGACAGGGCCCTAAGCAGCCTTCATGAAGTGGCTTCAGGTCTGTGTCCACGGCCTGTGTTGGTCCAGGTGTACACAGCACTGGGGTCCTGTCACCGTAAGATGGTAAAGACAGTCCTAGGGCAGATTGGGGGAAACCACGGGCATTATGCATAGCTTTTTGCTTTGTAAGAGTATCTGAGGCCCATGTCCTCCTATCTCTCTAGGGAAATCCACAGAGAGCACTGTTGTACTTGGTTGCAGCTCTGAAAGAGGGATCAGCCTGGGGTCCCCCACTTCTGGAGGCCTCTAGGCTCTATCAGCAACTGGGGGACACAACAGCAGAGCTGGAGAGTCTGGAGCTGCTAGTTGAGGTAGGGAACTGCCAGGTGAAGATGTGGGGTGGCGGATTGCTGAGGTGCTTGTGTTGGGATGACTGACTAGTCAAGATCCAAGTATAAGGAAGTATGGCTCCCAGAGATTATAGATTTTTCTTTCTCTTTTAGGCCTTGAATGTCCCCTGCAGTTCCAAAGCCTCACAGTTTGTCATTGAGGTAGAATTACTACTGCCACCACCTGACCCAGCCTCACCCCTTCACTGTGGCACTCAGAGCCAGGCCAAGCATGTATTAGCAAGCAGGTGCCTACAGACAGGGAGGTGAGGTTCCCCTTGCTCACCTGCGCTCCTCTTCCCACTTCTGATGCCTCCCCTGGGGTGTGACTCTGTTTTTGTTCTCATGACTTGGAGGATTAATAAGGCAGTGGCAGGACATAGGTCACCCACCACTCCTCAGCCTCTTTTACCTTGCTTCTAGACCTGAACTAAGGACTCTTCACTAAGACACTAACCTCCTCTATCTTTGACACTCTGAAGTCTCCTCCCCAATCCATTCTGTAACTGGGATAGAGTCATACTGAGCTAGAATTGGAGCCCTAAGATGTTCCCTCCTGCTCTACTCCTCAGGGCCTATAAGCATCCCTCTGTTAGCTAAGAGAGAACATTCTCAGGAACTTGCAGGGCCCTGCTTAGGGCCTAGGGTGAGGCTCATGGGCTGTGACTCCTCAGGGCAGAAGACGCTGCAGAGCATTACTTGGACCTGCTGGCCCTGTTGCTGGATAGCTCGGAGCCAAGGGTGGGTATATCTTCAAGCTTCTCTGCAATGGAGTGGAAGGGTTGCTGTCTCCTTTGGAATAGAACAAGACTGCTATTTTTTGTTTTTCCCTCTATTTTGTCTGTACAATCTGGGGCCCCAGGACTGTGCACTCTGTGTGGTACCAGAACCTGGTGAAGAGGTTGGGGATGGTGGCTCATGCCTTTCAAGACACTGCCTCTTCTTCCCACTCCAGTTCTCCCTGCCCCGCTCCCGCCCAGGGCCCTGTATGCCTGAGTTGTTTTTGGAGGCAGCAGTAGCACTGATCCAGGCAGGCCGAGCCCAAGATGCCTTGACTGTATGTGAGGAGTTGCTCAGCCGCACATCATCTCTGCTACCCAAGATGTCCCGGCTGTGGGAAGATGCCAGAAAAGGAACCAAGGAACTGCCATACTGCCCACTCTGGGTCTCTGCCACCCACCTTCTTCAGGGTCAGGCCTGGGTACAACTGGGTGCCCAAAAAATGGCAGTTAGTGAATTTAGCCGGTGAGCCTAGGGTCCTAGAGGGGGTGTAGAGGGATGATTTTCTGATTGGGACCTGAATTGGTGAGCTCCATGTTCACCCACTCTCCCTAGAGTTACTGAAATTGATTCCTCTTCACCCCCGTTCCATGTCCTGCTTCAGGTGCCTTGAGCTGCTCTTTCATGCCATACCTGAGGACAAAGGACAAGGTGATTTAGACTTTCAGTTTTCCTCTTACCTCCTGGAAGTAGTAGTGGTAGAAGTGTGTTCCCTTTCATGTGTCCCAGCCCATCAGGAGACTTAAGAGAAAGGGACTGTGGACACAAGAAGAAATAGAGGAGGATTTGGGGTTTTGGTGACTGTGAGGCTAGGAAGACACTTCTTGACTTTGGGAATGGTCCCCAGGGGCAGCTTCCAACTGTGAACAGGGATGTAAGTCAGATGTGGCACTGCAGCAGCTTCGGGCAGCCGCCCTAATTAGTCGTGGACTGGAATGGGTAGCCAGTGGCCAGGATACCAAAGCCTTACAGGACTTCCTCCTTGCTGTGCAGATGTGCCCAGGTATGTATATTTGCATGACATCAGCTATGGACAGAGAGGCCCATGGGAAAGGTACTTGGGCGTAAGTGTAAGGGTGATATTCTCAGACAGGAGGGGTTACTGGAATTGTGCTGTATATATCTGGGGATATATCCAGATTTCAAACATATACAAGTATGTATGCAGGGCTTCCAAGAGTTTCCTGGTCTCCCTAATAGCCTCAGACATAAAGACCGTAACTGCTGGGGTGGGTTGCACAGGAGTATTGGGCAGGTGGTGGACACTGGGATAGGAATGGTTGTGAATAATCTGCCCCAGCTTCCATATGTGAGTGTAGGCAAGATAATTCCCCCCTCTAGGCCTCTGTTTCCCTTTTTATAAAACAATGGCTAAGACTATGTCAAGTTCTAAGACTCTGTACTCTGGGCTGGGACTACAGGTAATCAAGACACTTACTTTCACCTGCTTCAGACTCTGAGGAGGCTGAATCGGAGGGATGAGGCCACTGCACTCTGGCGGAGGCTGGAGGCCCAAACTAAGGGGCCACAGGAAGGTGCTACATGGTGAGGCTCAGGCCTGCTGGCTTGGGGCTGAGGGGCAGTTGTTGTCCTAGAGTCCTTGGACTTATTGTGGGTGGTAAACACTGAAAGAGAAGGCATGGCTTCCCAGCTTTCTGCCAATCTTTCATCCTTAGACATCATCCTTCTTGTTCTCCAGGTCTCTCCCGCTGTACCTAGAAAGCTATTTGAGCTGGATCCATCCTTCTGATTGTGAAGCCCTCCTTGAAGAGTTTCAGACATCTCTGCCGGAGTCTTGTGACCTGTAGCTGCTACGTTTCCAAGAGCTTGAGCTGGGGCCCCCGTGGGCTGTCTCTGTGTGGGGAGGGCTTTCTGTTTCACCATCATTAGGAATCCTGGACTGGTGAGGTTGGTGGTGAGCCTGTGAAATTTGCCCCAGTTACTACCATTCTGGTTTTGGAGGAAACAATCTCTGCCACCACCAAGTTATTGACTTTGCTCGAGGCACCTTTTTTTCCTGTTTCCCCTTTTCTTTTGTTGAGTAAAATTTCATTTATATCTTGTCCGCCTACTACATATAGTTGGGTGGGAAGGCTCATGACTGTCTAGTTCAATGCTAGTTGTCTATGATGCCCTTTCCTGACATCATCGACCTTAAGAACATGAGATCTGGGTATGAGGAAAGGGTTATAGGAAACCTTACTCAGGAGTTGGTGGCTTTAGTCCTTCACATTGCCTAAATGCAGAGCCCCAAAGCCCAGGACAGCGACTGAGTGGAGTTGGGTCTGAAGAGTGGTCTAGATAGGCCTTTCAGGACAAGGGTGGGTACCTGATAATTAGGCAGATTTCTGAGTCTTTCCAAGTGACTCTTCACTCCCCTCATTATTCTAAATTCTAGAAATTGGACTTGTCTTAGTCAAATGTGTCTGGGTAGAGGGTGACAGGTGAATTGAGTCAGCATACCACCAACAGCTGCCTGTTGACTACAACCAGCGACCCCTGTTACTTTGGGCCCAAGGATTTCAAGTCCCAGCATATGCTGTTTTCTTGCTAATTTGGGTTCTACTGAATTGGCTGTGTTCTGTGGTTGCCCTTTGACTTCTCTGGATTTGAGTGCCTTATTATAAGGTATTAATATTAATGATAGGAGGAAGGAAGGCACAAGTGCTGAGAAACTGCAAAGGCTCTGGGATTAGGGTTACCACAGAGTGCAATGACAATGGGGTAGGAGTGGGGTGCTAGTCAGAAAGTTCAGAGTAGGGGTGGTTGGAGGCAGCGTTGAGGGGAGCAAGAAGAAAGGTCAGGGTGGTGATGGCGTCTTAGAGGATCCCCAGGTTTTGGAAGAAGGGTGTGTAGGATACCACAACAGGACTAGACTAATACAAGGGTTCAGTCCATTGTGCCAGGTTATTCTAGGAGGAAAAACTCCGGAGCCAATGAACTGGAGCCAAGTGGGAGAGTCCGCCTCTAAGGGATTAAAGGCTCTCCTTTCACGAGTCGATCTCGCCCTATTCCTTTCGTTGATTGGCTGAGGATTCCAATCCGTCGAGGAAGCGTAGCGCTGTGGCCAATTGACGTGGCGTTACTAGGCGTGTCGCATCTCTGAGGCGGGAGCCAGGTCGCAAACGAATTTCCTGATTGGCTGTGGTCTGCGGGTTGCTGGGGAGAGGCGCGGAGAGGCGGGCGAGAGTCCGCAGGGCAGGCGGTGATTGGCTGAGGTGGGAGCAGCTTCCCTTCCGATGATTCGGCTCTTCTCGGCTCAGTCTCAGCGAAGCGTCTGCGGCCGTCGTTTTGAGTCGTAGCTGCCGCTGCCACTGCCACTGCCACCTCGCGGATCAGGAGTCAGCGTTGTTCACCCGACGCCTAGCTGCCGGTGGGAGGAAGCGAGAGGGAAGCCGCTTGCGGGTTTGTCGCCGCTGCTCGCCCACCGCCTGGGAGAGCCGAGCCCCGGCTCAGTCAGTCGCTTGCCACCCCTCGTAGCCGTTACCCGCGGGCCGCCACAGCCGCCGGCCGGGAGAGGCGCGCGCCATGGCTTCTGGAGCCGAGTGAGTGTGCGCGCGCCGTCCGCTCGCTGCGGCGGCGCGCACCGGGACCGGCCGCTCTGGGTAGGCCCTGCGGGGCCTGGCAGTGGGCGCGTCAGGGAGGTGGAGACCAGGAAGGAGGGAAGAGGAGCAAGGGAGCGAGTAAGGGGCCCTTGACCCGGCAGGCCCGGCTGGGGCCAGCTGCGCACCCGCGCGCCCCCTAGGCGGGGCTTGCGTTGGGCCTGGGTCGGAGCCTGGGCCGGATCGTGCTGTGTCATGCAGGCCCCGTCTCGCCCGATTGGCTCCCTTGGAACGGCCGTCCCGGCCTGGCGAGGTCTTCCGGCCTACACCGCCGGCGCGGAGCCTCGGGGCCTTGGGGAGCCCGTCTGCGATCCGGCCTACCACCCGCCGAAGGCCTTTGGTTCCTGAAGAGAGCAGGCCCCGCGAGCCCGAGGCCCCTACCGGGCCCGGTGGGCGTGGACTTTGCGCCATGTGAAGGCCTCAGGAGCCCTGCCACCGAGGCGGAGGCCGGGGTCGGGGAAGGCCCGGCGAGGTCAGGAAAGCTCACAGCCGCCGTTTTGGAGCCTGGTCGGCGGGGCCCGAGGTGGGCAGTCTGTGATCTGAGTAGTGAGGGACTGTTAGGAAGAGGGAGAGCCCTACCTTTCGCTTCTGGTTTTCTTTCTTTAGGCCTGTTTGTTCATACTAGAAAGTTTGAGCGAGATTTCCTTCATATTATTGACTCTTGGGTGGGGAGAAAGGAATTCTTTAAAAATATTTTAGGTTTTTGCTAAAGTTCCAATCTCAGTTCATGTTTTGTGGGCCTTCCCAGATTTCTAACTTTGGTGGTGTGCAGTTTAGAGTTGCACTGACTCTTCAAAAACACAAAGATGCACGCACCCCCTTCCCCAACCAGCTATATTGAGAAATTATCTGGGCTCTGAGGCTTTCTGACCCCACTTCCATCCCTCAGGAAAGCGTCAGATAGAATTTGCCACCTCAGCCCATTCAATTTAGCTTTTAGATACTGAAACAAACAAACAAACAAAAAAAAAACACCACACAGCCAGCCCATGGAAACCGTTCTATGCAAATTACCTTCCTTCTTTGAAGAGATTAGTTTTTTGAGGTGTGTTCCTTTTTCTCAAGTTTCTGAACTGGGATAAAGTATTAGTCAGTTGCCTATTTAGAAGAGTCACCTTTTATGAAAATATTATTTTGGTTTACATGCAGTCAAGCTTTTATTTTTAAAAGTAAAAATCTAAAACTTTTGGAACCTGGCATCATCAGCTGTTCCTAACCTCTTGGTCACCTTGATGACTCTTAGCTGAAACCCCTCCAAGTCCCATGTGGAGTCCCCTGTACAGTTCTGGAAAAGGATTGACTCATACAGAAGACAATGGAGGATGGCCCGAAAGAGCGTCCAGAACTACTGTTGGCCCATGGTTAGGCCAAATTCACTCTTGGAGATTGCCACCTCTGATCTCAGTTGATAGATCGGGAATTAGAGGCTTTGTCTTAAGAAAAGGGCACACTACTCATCTCCAGAGCCAGAGTCCAGGATGGTAGGCAGAAAGGAGGTTTTCCTAGGATGCAGCTTTCAGATTAAAATACAAACTGTTGGCCTGGTGAGGTGGCTCAGGCCTGTAATCCCAGCATTTTGGGAGGCCAAGGCAGGCAGATCACTTGAGGTCAGGAGTTCAGGACTGTGCTGGGCAACATGGAGAAACCCCATCTCTATGAAAATGCAAAAATTAGTCAGGCATGGTGGTGGCGCACGTCTGTAGTCCCAGCCATTATGGAGGCTGAGGCAGGAGAATTGCTTGAACCAGGAGGTGGAGGTTACAGTGAGGGAGATCGCGCCACTGCACTCTAGCCTGGGCAACAGAGCGAGACTCCATTTCAAAAAATAAAAAATTATGGTGACTAGGGGCATCTGACATTTTATTTTTCTACGGTCTCAGTCCTATTGGTCAAGCAAGAAGATTGGCAGCCCCTGACAGAGTATTTTGATGAGACAGGAGAGGGAGAACTCATGGGTTTAAATTGCTCTCAGCTGTCCACATTGACCATGCTTGACCTCCAGTATGTTCATAAGCAGTGGAAGAGTCTGCCTATTCAGCAGCATTGTTCCTAGAGTGACACACTTTTGGGATGGGGGAGGCAGATTTGAGCAGAGGAAACTGTCATTAGAAACTAGTTTAGAGGCAGTAGTTTAAAATACAGCCTATGTATGAGGGTTAGCAGAAGGCCTACCATTTTGTTAGATGAATGGGGTTTGTATTTCTTTTGGGTGTATCAGTGCCCGAAGATGTAAGAACTGCATGGCTTCCTAGCTGAGCACAGCATTTTTTCTCTGTCTCTTGGAAATTGTGAGAATATTTCCTATGGGAATACTATAGTTTTAACTGCAGTTTCCCCAGCCCCTAGGACAATGCCTGGGACGTAATAGACCCTCATTACTTAGTTGAATGAAGAAACTTCTTTTTAAAAATATATTTGCTTTGCTTCCTTCATTGTCTGGCTTTCCTATTTTGGTTAATGTTTATGTTTTCCTGAGCCTTACTAACAGAAGGCAGCTCTTAGAGAGAAAGCCCAGCACTTTGGGAGGCCAAGGTGGGCGGATCACCTGAGGTCAGGAGTTGGAGACCAGCTTGACCAACATGGTGAAACGCCGCCTCTAGTAAAAATACAAAATTAGCCAAGTGTGGTGGCGCATGCCTGTAATCCCAGTTACTGGGAAGGCAGGAGAATCACCTGAATTTGGGAGGCAGAGGTTGCAGTGAGCCATGCCTTTGTACTCCAGCCTCCATCTCAAAAAAAAAAAAAAGAGAACACTGAGTCCAGTGATGGCTGGAGATGGGCTAGGTAATAAGTTGGTATCACTGCTTGTTGAATGATCCTAGCTTCTAGGAAATAACAAACTGAGTGTAGACCCAGTTGACCTTGGTTTGGGTGAGAGGGATTTGGATTTGCCCCATGTCTCAGCATTTCTTTGTTTTGATTTTTTGAGCCAACTCTATGGAATTGTGCTTTTGCAGAAATTACTGTGCAATTTCTTTTGACCTTGAGCCTCTTTCTGGTGGGTTCATGTCTGTTAGTGTTTTTTCCAAATATGATGGTCTTTATGCTTGGCATTCCTTTGGTACCATGGAATCATCTCAGGGGAAGTTGTCTGGCTTACTTCATTCCCCTGGAAAGTTAGTTTATGCTTTATACTGTGGTGTTTTTTTTTGGAAGGCAGGGTTTCACCATGTTGGTCAGGCTGGTCTTGAACTCCCTACCTCAGGTGATCCGCCCACCTTGGCCTCCAAAGTGCTTGGATTACGGGTGTGATCTACCACGCCCAGCCCACTTTATACTGTTAATCATGGTGACCATTAATACCATGTGCCAGGTATTATGTTAAGCATTTTACATTCATTATCTCCATTAAGACAATAAACCTCTGAGATAAGTATTATACTCCCTATTTTATAGGGGAGGACATCAAAGTTTAGAGGTTAGGTAACTTGCCCAAGATCACAAGCGGGAGCAGAATTGGAATTTAGACCCAATGGGTCTGACTATAGAGTTCCTGCTCTTAACCACTCTTCTGTAAGTCTAAGACTGCTTTTATTTCTCTAATAACTATTTAGCCTCCATTTCTATTATGTCTTATTCTTAGGCTGTTTTCTGATCCTGGGGCAGGATTACTCACTTGGGGCCTTATAGCTGGACACTGATGCTCAAAATACCAGGAGCTGATGGAATGGATATTCTAATGTGTGTGGAATGGATATTCTAATGGATATATCTAATGCTAGATATTCTTCTTGTGACCTTGGCTGCCTTTCCTTCATCTGAGCTCTCTGGTTTAGGGACAGCTTCATCTAGTCACTATTTCTTTCTTGAGTTTTAGAGACTGGTGAGGCTCTTGGGGCTGGAGTATCTATTGGGACTGACTCAGTTTTCTCCTTCTAGTTCAAAAGGTGATGACTTATCAACAGCCATTCTCAAACAGAAGAACCGTCCCAATAGGTTAATTGTTGATGAAGCCATCAATGAGGACAACAGTGTGGTGTCCTTGTCCCAGGTAAGCTGAGGCCACAGACTAGTCTTTCCTTATTGGACTTACTTGAGGGATTTTCCCAGGTTTCTTTTCTCATTTTTCTTGCAGTGACTGCAGATAGAGTGGGGTTTACTGGGACTCCCAATCTCCAGGGCTGCTGCTTACTCCCTTCTGCCCAGTGACCAAAAGGCCTTAACCTTCTTTCCTCAGCCCAAGATGGATGAATTGCAGTTGTTCCGAGGTGACACAGTGTTGCTGAAAGGAAAGAAGAGACGAGAAGCTGTTTGCATCGTCCTTTCTGATGACACGTGTTCTGATGAGAAGATTCGAATGAATAGAGTTGTTCGGAATAACCTTCGTGTACGCCTAGGGGATGTCATCAGGTGTGTGTGTGGTTTTTGGCTCTGCAGGGATGGGAGGCCAGAGATAGCCTGCATTCTAGGCAGGACCCATGTATTACACAGGCAGGACCAAGTTCTTGGCACCTGTAGATATAGGAAGCCTCCTGGCCATGGGAAGACTTACACTTCAGGGTTGTCTTTAGATTTTGGTTCTGCCTTCCTGGGATTCGCAGATTTTCTCTGAATGTCCCTTGAGACAAATTGGCATTCCTATAACTTTCCTGATGCCCTATTTTTTCCTACCAGAGATGTAATTTATCATACTTAAAGCTTGGTTTAGGATGCCACTTGAGGGTATGTATCTGCTAAATGACCTCCTCACTACTCTCACTAGTATGTCCAATTAATGGCTTCGGATTGGAATGAGGTTGCGGTATGGGCATGGAAGGTGAGCTGGTAGCAGACCTTTTAAGCACCTAAATTAACTAGGGAGAAAGGGATAGTTGAAGTCAGACCCAGGATAGCTCCATTGAGAGTGATTTTGCTTATTCTTGCATAATTTTAGGCAAGAAGTTACCCCAACTTGGAGTCATCTCTTGCCACTCCTATCCAGCCAACCATCACCTGGCCAGGATCATCTTAGGCTTCTGATACTTTTTAATGGAGTCTGAGTTTCATGTAACTTTCTTCCTGATGGTGCTTAGTCACTTTCTCAAGGTGTTCTGACCACCTGGCAGAGATAATTTTATTTTTTTCACTTCTGTTTCTCTGACCCTGACAATTACTAGCTTAAGATCTTCTTTTGTAATATTGGGTCATCAATATTAGCTAAGGGGATTATCCTAGCATATCTCACTGAAGACTCAGCATATCTTTGTGGGGTTTCTAAATGTGTAGCTCTTGATTTTGGCTCACTGATTAGGAGTGAGTGGGGCTGTTCTTTTGCTCTCACTTCCACCCTGTTCTCCTTCCGCTCTTCACCTAAAGCCATCCCTGCCTTTTCTTTTTTACTTACTATCAGCTATCTCTGCCAGGCCCTTTTGGACACCCAGTGCTTGGGCCCGAAGTGTGGTTGGTAATATGGAGTCTGCTTGTCATCCTCAGCATCCAGCCATGCCCTGATGTGAAGTATGGCAAACGTATCCATGTGCTGCCTATTGATGACACGGTGGAAGGCATTACTGGTAATCTCTTTGAGGTATACCTTAAGCCGTACTTCCTGGAAGCTTATCGACCCATCCGGAAAGGTGAGAGCTAATTCTGAGCTTAAGGATTGTTGATTGTTGAGTTTTTGCACACTAGGTCATGGAATGATTTAGAGAAACTCAGCTTGGAATGTCTTCATCTCATTTTCTTTTTCTTCTTTTTTTGATCTTTTATGCTTTTCCCTTGTATTTATTTATTTATTTTTTAAGAGATGGGGTCAGCCCAGTGCCGTGGCTCACGCCTACAATCCCAGCACTTTGGGAGACTGAGGCAGGTGAATCACCTGAGACCAGGAGTTCAAGACCAGCCTGGCCAACATGGCAAAACCCCATTGTGGGTGCCTGTAATCCCAGGTATCTGGGAGGCTGAGGCACGAGAATTGCTTGAACCCAGGAAGTGGAGGTTGCAGTGAGCAAAGATCAGGCCACTGCACTCCAGCCTGGGTGACAGAATGAGACTCTGTCTCAAAAAAAGAAAGAAAGAAAGAGATGGGGTCTCACTATGATGCCCAGGCTGGTCTCAAACTGCTGGGCTCAAGTGATCCACCTGCCTTGGCCTCCCAAAGTGCTGTGATTATAGGCATGAACCATCATACCTAGTCTCACTTTTATATATTTGTATACACACATGCATCCTGCATACAGATTCATGTCTTCTGCCCTTCTTTTCCTCCATCATTTTCTCCCTCCATCTCTCCCCTTCTCTGTTCCAGGAGAGTAAGCTATCCTTATGGATCTTTGAAGGAGAAGGTGGTCCATTTTGACTATGTCAGGGTCCAAAGTGTACAGTTCTAGCATTGGTGGTTGTAGTAAAGCTTGGGCTAATTATATGGCAGAAGTCAAAACTTGATGGGCTTCTGGCATGTCAGGTTTTCTGCACCAACCTCCTGAGTGGCAGAGGGACTCTTCACAGTTTACCTTTCTCCTTTTGCCTACTACTTATTAAGACAGTTGGGGTGGCATTGGAGAGAGGGTAATATCTAATGAAGGACAATACCTAATAAGCTTGGCATTTTGACCCAGGGTCTGATGAATTCTCAATTTGTATTGTAGCTGACACCTCTAACTGTGCTTGTATTGCTTGCTCTCACAGGAGACATTTTTCTTGTCCGTGGTGGGATGCGTGCTGTGGAGTTCAAAGTGGTGGAAACAGATCCTAGCCCTTACTGCATTGTTGCTCCAGACACAGTGATCCACTGCGAAGGGGAGCCTATCAAACGAGAGGTGAGTTTTCTCCCTGATCACAGTATCCAATTTCGTGATTACTCAGTGTGGCATCATGTGGTAACTGTCAAGACTGGGTGCTCGGCTGTCCGCAGTGGCTTACGCCTATAATCCCAGTACTTTGGGAGGCTCGGGGGACAGATCACTTGAGGTCAGGCATTTGAGACCAGCCTGGGCAACATGGTGAAACCTTGTCTCTACTAAAAATACAAAAATTAGCTGGGCCTAGTGGCGCACATCTGTAATCCCAGCTTACTCAAGAGGCTGAGGCAGGAGAATTGCTTGAATCCAGGAGGCAGAGGTTGCAGTGAGCTGAGACTGTGCTACTGCACTCCAGCCTTGGTGACAGAGTGAGATCGTCTCAAAAATAAAAAAACAAAAAAACAGACTGGATGCTTTTTGGAGAACTAAGCATCTTTCAGGGATGAGAAATCTGCCAGATATTCATTTCTGGGTCTAGGTGTTTTTTGGAGATACCTAATGCCAGGAATTTCAAAAATCTAGACTGAACCCAAAGTATATAAGTGATTGAAATCAATTTTGAAGTATAGCTGATGGTGGCTGAAGGCCTTTGTCCATTCCCAGAGTTTCCAGCCTCAGATTTTAGAGACCCCCTTCTCAATAAGACTACGAGCAATGTGAGAGGCAAGGACTGTGCTAGAAATCTTTGCCTTGGGATTTTTATAGCTGTTCTTTGAGGCTGGATCCCTGTAGAGGAGAATCTTCTCTTTTTAATTTAATTTAATTAATTTTTTTTTTTTTTGAGACAGTTTCGCTCTTGTTACCCAGGCTGGAGTGCAATGGCGTGATCTCAGCTCCTGCAACCTCCGCCTCCTGGGTTCAAGCAATTCTCCTGCCTTAGCCTCCAGAATAGCTGGGACTACAGGCATGCGCCACCATGCCCAGCTAATTTTTGCATTTTTAATAGAGACGAGGTTTCACCATCTTGATGGTCTCGATCTCTTGACTTCGTTCCACCCGCCTTGACCTCCCAAAGTGATGGGATTACAGGCATGAGACACAGCGTCTGGCAATTTAATTTAATTTTTAATGACATGAGGGTCTCGCTATGTTGCCCAAGAACTCCTGGACTCAAGCAGTCCTACCTCTGCCTCCCAAAGTGCTGGGATTACACATGTGAGCCACCGTGCTGGGTTGAGAATCTTCTTATATGGTAGGTTTTTGTACACTAGGTAGTGGAATGATTTAGAGAAACTCAGCTTCTGCTGATATTATATTCTTGCCTTCTGCTTTCTTTATCTCTTTTTCAGGATGAGGAAGAGTCCTTGAATGAAGTAGGGTATGATGATATTGGTGGCTGTAGGAAGCAGCTGGCTCAGATAAAGGAGATGGTGGAACTGCCCCTGAGACATCCTGCCCTCTTTAAGGCAATTGGTGTGAAGGTGAGCATTTTGGGCTCTGGGATCCAGTTTAAAGTGGTGATTAATGACTACCCAATGTCTGATCCTGGGACTTTTTCATACATGGCTTTTGTTATTGTCTTGGATTAGAGGGGCAGTAATAAATCCTTTAATTCACTGAAGGCTCTAAATTCATTAGAGTTGATGGTATAGAACAGAGCAAGCTAATTAAATTCTCTGTTGTGTGCATATGCGCACAAACACATGCACACATATATATGGGTTTTTTCTTTACAGCTCTTAGAATGTAAAAGCTATTCTTGTCTCAGTGGACCCTGTAAAATCAAATCTCACCATAGTTTGCCAGCCTATCTAGAGCAGTGTCACCTGGTAGAAGTAAGCAAGTTAAGGAAATTTTCAGAGTCTTTTTTTTTTTTGAGACGGAGTTTCGCTCTTGTTACCCAGGCTGGAGTGCAATGGCGTGATCTTGGCTCACCGCAACCTCTGCCTCGTGGGTTCAGGCAATTCTCCTCCCTCAGCCTCCTGAGTAGCTGGGATTACAGGCACACGCCACCATGCCCAGCTAATTTTTTGTATTTTTAGTAGAGACGGGGTTTCACCATGTTGACCCAGGATGGTCTCGATCTCTTGACCTCGTGATCCACCCGCCTCGGCCTCCCAAAGTGCTGGGATTACAGGCGTGAGCCACCGCGCCCGGCAATTTTCAGAGTCTTAAAGGGTTCTGAGTTTAAAACATTTGAGAACTATTGGTCTAGAGTGTAGTTTCCCATTCTTTTCTATATCGTGGAACACACTGAAAATGAAGTTACTCATTTCCTTAGTATGTGTCAATAAACAAATAATTTCATCTTCTATGTTCAATGTCCTGCTTGTAAATAAGGCCATAGAAAGGGTAGTGTCAAAGAAGAAGATTGGTGATTGTAAGGAACATCATTCCAATGTGATAAATTCTGGAAGGTATGATTACTGGAGTAAGTGATCCTCTGGCAATGACGAAAATAGACCCTGCTCTCTCAAATGTCTTAGCTAGTCTTTGGCCCTTGGTCTGCCTGAAATTGAGCCCTTAGTGTAATGTCCTTTTGCCTTTTCCTAGTTACGTATCTTCAAACTTATTTTTCACTAGAGTTTCTCTGCCCTTAGTCTCCTATGCAAGTTGCAATCATAAATGTTGCTCACTTTGTAGCAGTATTTTCTGTGCTAGTGTGGCTAAAGTAAGCTGTCTTCCTAGCATTTACTGCTGAGGGCTCATTCTTAATATTGTCAGGGTTGAAGACTGATTCTCGCCCTCTCTGGAGCCCTAGTCAATCCATTTTAGGGTTTGGGAGAAGGTGAGAACCTAATCACATTCTGCATTGGTCCTCAGCCTCCTAGAGGAATCCTGCTTTATGGACCTCCTGGGACAGGGAAGACCCTGATTGCTCGAGCTGTAGCAAATGAGACTGGAGCATTCTTCTTTTTGATCAATGGTAAGAGACTTGGTTCATCTTAGGTCTAGCTAGACCCAATTTTGAATGGGGACTCATGAGCTGGAGAGCTCATGGACCGATCCCTTTTGCATTCATGCCCACCTGCACTTTTATAGTATATTTCTTCTCCTGGGGTATGTTACAGACAGATGAAGAATAAAGGGAAGATACTTTACATTGGTGCTCCCTGTCCTGTCCCCTTTGAGAAAGATTGTGGACAGACCGAAGAGTGGGAGCAAGCTAGAATGAGAAATTAATGGGTGAATGCTTATTGATATGAGAGATTTTCGGGGAAATGAACTTGGATTGCTGGCTCTTGGAGAATACTGTTAGCTGGTAGAGATCTAGCTGGTGTGCCATCTCTCCTGCTCTAGCCATAGGTCCCAGAGCATTTGCTGTCACCTTTATACTTCTAGTTCAACTGTGAGAAGAGTATACTGAGTCCCTGGGCTTCTCTCTAGCCTGGACTGGTGGCTATCCTGTGATAATGGTTGGTAGAGGATCTGAGAAGTAGGCAAAGGTCACCACCTTCTCACCAGGACCTGTCTCTGAGCCAGACAAGCAAGATAACTGTTTTTTGGGTAATTAGGAAAGGCTATAATTTTGTTTTTGCCTCCATTCTGTATTCTTTCAGGTCCTGAGATCATGAGCAAATTGGCTGGTGAGTCTGAGAGCAACCTTCGTAAAGCCTTTGAGGAGGCTGAGAAGAATGCTCCTGCCATCATTTTCATTGATGAGCTGGATGCCATCGCTCCCAAAAGAGAGAAAGTAGGAGCTTACCTGAAGGGATAGTGGGGGGTTGAAAGGCTCTAACTTCACTTATGACCAGACATCCTGTTCTGGCAGACACATGGCGAGGTGGAGCGGCGTATTGTATCACAGTTGTTGACCCTCATGGATGGCCTAAAGCAGAGAGCACATGTTATTGTCATGGCAGCAACCAACAGACCCAACAGCATTGACCCAGCTCTACGGCGATTTGGTAAGCACTCCAGATATATCCAACCCTGCCCTTGCTTACATCTCACCTCTCTCCTTCATCTAAGTCACTTAATCCTCTTGAAGCCCTTTGCAGTGATTAGGTCCAGGGGTCTTTTTCCCTTATCCTGCATCCTGTCTAGACTGACCAACCACTTGGTTTTCCTGAAACTGAAAGGTTTCCCAGGGTTTGAGACTTTTTCACTGCTAACATCAGGACAATCCTATGCTAACTGAGATGGTTGGTCCTGCTAGGCCTGTCTCTTCCCTCTGGACTAGAAATGAGCCCTGTCTGTGTTCATGTACTGTCCCACAGGTCGTTTTGACCGGGAGGTAGATATTGGAATTCCTGATGCTACAGGACGCTTGGAAATTCTTCAGATCCATACCAAGAACATGAAGCTGGCAGATGATGTGGACCTGGAACAGGTAAAGTGATGATGAGGGCTGACTGGGCATTACAATATCTCTGTTTCTAGGCAGTTGCTGGGAACTGGCTTGGAACATAAGGTTAAGATGTGAGGAGATGGATTTTGATTTCTGGACAGGGGAAAGGAAGTGATCTGAGATTGAATCCAGGAAATTGGAGTTGACTTGTTTCTCAGTTAACACTGCATTTAGAGTAAATCAGAATTTCTGGGGCAGCTTTATTTCTAGGCCTCAAGTCCCGAATTGAGTACTTAAAACCCAGCCAATAAAGACATTGCTAGTACATATTCAACGAAATGAGAGGACCCAGGGATAGGAGTCGGGGGAAGGATTTCTGTTGTTTCTTAGCCTCCTGTGGGAGCTGGAGGCAGCATAGTAAGTAGGTCTTTCTCTACAGGTAGCCAATGAGACTCATGGGCATGTGGGTGCTGACTTAGCAGCCCTGTGCTCAGAGGCTGCTCTGCAAGCCATCCGCAAGAAGATGGATCTCATTGACCTAGAGGATGAGACCATTGATGCCGAGGTCATGAACTCTCTAGCAGTTACTATGGATGACTTCCGGGTAAGGACCACACCCCTACCTCAGGTACACACCTAATGTGCTTTGACCCTTCCCTGGTAAGTCTCATCCAGTTTTCCCTTCTTTTCTAGTGGGCTTTGAGCCAGAGTAACCCATCAGCACTGCGGGAAACTGTGGTAGAGGTGCCACAGGTAACCTGGGAAGACATCGGCGGCCTAGAGGATGTCAAACGTGAGCTTCAGGAGCTGGTCCAGGTAGGGTAACTTGGTCCAGGGTGAGTCACTGCCTTAGTGATGTGGGTGGTCTCAGGGTATCAACACATTGGCTGCAAGAGTTGTAAGAGCACAACTTAGGAACCTACTGTTCTTAGGTTTGAGGCATTAAGGAGTCTGCTTTTAGAGAACCTGGATCTGATACCATTGGGTACACCATGAAGCTTCCGTTTGGTTAGGTTTCTTTCAAAATATGGTGGTAGCCTTGAACCCTCTTTCCTTTTTGTCCTAGTATCCTGTGGAGCACCCAGACAAATTCCTCAAGTTTGGCATGACACCCTCCAAGGGAGTTCTGTTCTATGGACCTCCTGGCTGTGGGAAAACTTTGTTGGCCAAAGCCATTGCTAATGAATGCCAGGCCAACTTCATTTCCATCAAGGGTCCTGAGCTTCTCACCATGTGGTTTGGGGAGTCTGAGGCCAATGTCAGAGAAATCTTTGACAAGGTGAGCTATAATAGGGTGGACTCTGTATTCATTTGCCTGGGGGCAAGAACTGTTTTTCTTTAAGAGAGTTGAAACAGTGCTGGCTACTCAACTGGACAGTAATCTTTCTGAGGTCTGAGAGATCCAGTGTTTAGTTTTGTTTTGTTTTTTCTCTTGAGACAATATCTGGCTCTGTTGCCCAGGCTGGAGGGTAGTGGTGCAATCATAGTTCACTTGTAACCTTGAACTCCTGGGCTTAAGCAATTCTCCTACTTCAGCCTCCTAAGTAGCTGGGACTACAGGCATGCATCACCACATCTGGCTATTTTTTTTTTTTTTTTAGAGGTAAAGTCTTGGTATGTTGCCCAGGCTGTTTTTTAATTCCTGGCCTCAAGTGATCTTCCCACCTTGGCCTCCCAAAGTGCTGGGAATGCATGTATGAGCCACTGCATTTGGCCAGAGAGATTTAGTTTTGTTAGAGCTTGACTCAGTCTGTTCCTCCCACAGGCCCGCCAAGCTGCCCCCTGTGTGCTATTCTTTGATGAGCTGGATTCGATTGCCAAGGCTCGTGGAGGTAACATTGGAGATGGTGGTGGGGCTGCTGACCGAGTCATCAACCAGATCCTGACAGAAATGGATGGCATGTCCACAAAAAAGAATGTGTTCATAATTGGCGCTACCAACCGGCCTGACATCATTGATCCTGCCATCCTCAGACCTGGCCGTCTTGATCAGCTCATCTATATCCCACTTCCTGATGAGAAGTCCCGTGTTGCCATCCTCAAGGCTAACCTGCGCAAGTCCCCAGTTGCCAAGGCAGGTGCAAGATCATGGGCTATGGGGGACTTGTATGAGTCCTCAGGCTGGTATGGAGTGCTCTTTGGTTTCTGGACAAGATTCCATTGGGGTTAGGGTTGGTCTAAAGGGCAGGGAGAATTTTTGAGGGTATTAGGATAATCTAGAATCAGAAATAAAATGGGGTGGCCAAAGAAGAGGCAAACTGTAGTTGGGAGTGCTTGGGTGGCCCAAAGATCTGTGTGACTCAGGAGAGGAGAGGCTGAATGCTAAGGTAGCTCTGCTGCTTCTTTTAGGATGTGGACTTGGAGTTCCTGGCTAAAATGACTAATGGCTTCTCTGGAGCTGACCTGACAGAGATTTGCCAGCGTGCTTGCAAGCTGGCCATTCGTGAATCCATCGAGAGTGAGATTAGGCGAGAACGAGAAAGACAGACAAACCCATCAGCCATGGTGAGTCTGCATCCTTTCCCCAGTTGTGCCAGTTATGGGGAGCCAGGCAACAGCCACCACCATGCCCTAGAGTTGAGAGTAGAAGCTATTGGAAAGGTCATCTGACTGAGAAGACATTTAATAGGGCATCAAAGATAAAGAATACTAAGGTGAATCCATTCAGTTTGGAATAAGGCTGAGAAGAGATGGGCAGCTCCATTCTCAGTCTGAACTAAGCTCTGTGAGGGAAATCTACTTTGATATGCACTATGAGACTGCAGCAAACAGAGCAGGGCCTTGAACTGAGATGAGACCCATAGACCTATCCATGGTGGTCGGGGAAGGGGTGGGGTACACAGACCTCCCAAAATGAAATGGCAAATTCATGTGTGTGTAAGCTCCATAAAGGTAGGATCTCCATCATTTTCCGCTATATCCTGTTACCCTTAATTAATTGATTAAGTTCTAAACATGAGGCTTAATGAATGAGCAAATATGTGGCTTTCTTTACCTTTTGGAAGGGTCTGTGACATCTCTTCTCTTTCCCATAAAAGCTTAAAAACTCTTGGCCGGGCACGGTGGCTCACACTTGTAATCCCAGCACTTTGGGAGGCCGAGGCGGGTGGATAAAGAGATCGAGACCATCCCGGCCAACATGGTGAAACCCTGTCTCTACTAAAAAAAATACAAAAATTAGCTGGGCATGGTGGCATGCGCCTGTAGTCCCAGCTACTCGGGAGGCTGAGGCAGGAGAATTGCTTGAACCCAGGAGGCGGAGTTTGCAGTGAGCTGAGATCGTGCCACTGCACTCCAGTTTGGCGCTTGGCGACAGAGCAAGACTCTGTCTCAAAAAAAAAAGCGGGGGTGAACTATTGATGAACTAATCCTAGAAAGCAGTTTCATAAGTCACAGTAGTTGGCCTCTCAATAGAAGAGATAGGTTTTGAGCTGAGCTGTGAAGAGAGTAGAATTTGAATAAAGAGAATAAGCAGCCCAAATGTATTCTAGTAGTGGGATTGTAGACATTGGGAAACCCTGGGTGGATTTAAGAGTATATATGTCACTGGAAGTGAGACCACTAGGTGGTAGGATGTAATCCAAATGTGGTAAGCACTAAAAGCCATTGGCATTTTCTTTTAAAATATTAAGGTTTATTGAGGTACGATATAAGTACAATAAAATTGACCCTTTTTAAGTACCATTTTCATGCTTTTTGACAAATGTATGTAAGTTCTATAACTACTACTCACAGTTGAGACTTAAAAATTTCTGTTATCCCAGAAAGTTTCCTTAGCTACTTCAGGCAACATCTCCCTTCCTTAAGCCCATCACAAATGTGATTTCTGTCCCCTACAGTTTTCCCTTGCATTGACAAGTTTTTAAGCGGAGTAATGACTCAATTTTAGGAAGCATGGCCTAGCACCTGACCTAGCATCTTACCTCAGGTTGGATTGGAAGGGCAAGGAGACGAATAAACAGTAATGGGAGGCCAGGGATGAAATCCAGGCTGGGCTTTAACTAGCCCTAGTGATCTCTGTTTACCAACTATAGGAGGTAGAAGAGGATGATCCAGTGCCTGAGATCCGTCGAGATCACTTTGAAGAAGCCATGCGCTTTGCGCGCCGTTCTGTCAGTGACAATGACATTCGGAAGTATGAGATGTTCGCCCAGACCCTTCAGCAGAGTCGGGGCTTTGGCAGCTTCAGGTAACTTGGTTGGGAGCATTAGACAGTGCTTAAGTTAATTTGGGGACCTATACCAAAAAGGGGATGGGAGTCCTAAGGAAGCTAGAAGGGGTAGTTGTGGAAATCTTAATTAAATAGGCCCTCTCCTAATCCTCTTTTTTGGCTTTGCTCTTGTACACACAGATTCCCTTCAGGGAACCAGGGTGGAGCTGGCCCCAGTCAGGGCAGTGGAGGCGGCACAGGTGGCAGTGTATACACGGAAGACAATGACGATGACCTGTATGGCTAAGTGCTGGTGGCCAGCGTGCAGTGATCTGGCCTGCCTGGACCTTGTTCCCTGGGGGTGGGGGCCGCTTGCCCAGGAGAGGGACCAGGGGTGCGCCCACAGCCTGCTCCATTCTTCAGTCTGAATAGTTCAGCTACAGTCGACTCTGGACAGGGGGTTTCTGTTGCAAAAATACAAAACAAAAGCGATAAAATAAAAGCGATTTTCATTTGGTAGGTGGAGAGTGAATTACCAACAGGGAATTGGGCCTTGGGCCTATGCCATTTCTCTTGTAGTTTGGGGCAGTGCAGGGGACTTGTGTGGGGTGTGAACCAAGACGCTACTGCCACCTGCCACAGTATAGCATCTGCACTTGACTCAATGCTGCCTGAGTCCTCCCTTCCCCCTATCCAACCTGGGTAGGCCGGTAGGGGCCACAGTTGCTGGGTGTTTATAGAGTAGGTTGATTTTATTTTACATGCTTTTGAGTTAATGTTGGAAAACTAATCACAAGCAGTTTCTAAACCAAAAAATGACTTGTTGTAAAAGGACAATAAACGTTGGGTCAAAATGGAGCCTGAGTACTGGGCCCTGTGCCTGCTTCTTTTCCTGGGAAGGGCCTTGGGCTACCCACCACTGCCAAGGCATTCTTTCAAATGTGAAATCCTGGAAGTTAAGATTGCACCTTCTTCCTCTCCTGATCAACATCGCTATGATATCTCCTGTTGCCTCATCCTGTGTCTGCAGTATCACTGAATAGGACTGGTGGAAAGGGAACAGCCTGATGGAGCTCCAAATGTGGAGAATGTGGCATCCCTCTGCCCATTTGATGTGGATGCTAAGGCTAGGCCTGCAGAATCCCATATACTGACCAAGGACTGTGTTGAGATGCCATCTGAAAATCCTAGTGTTGCAAAAAAATATCCATTTGCAGGTGGATATTCTCTGTACTCCCTTTTAATGCATCTAAAAATCCCGAACATTCATCCCCTGGTTGGTGATCACTTAAAGTTGTGTCCAGTTTTATTTTATGTAATTTGTATGATAAAAAAAATAGCTTTTTGTTAATATAAAATTTTAGCATTGAATTTTTTTTTTCCAAACAGAAAATAGACTATTCTCTTCAACAGTAATCACTTAATGCTTCTAGGGTCGGTACCATGATGCCTCACCCAGAGAGAGAGTAGTACAGAGAAAATAAATCACTAAATTAAATGTGTGTTGATTGGGTTTGGACATAATCTCAAAAGACAGTCCTGAACATGATAATCTTGAATAAAATACAGTAATCTCCAAAGATCAAAATCCCTGAAGTCTAAAATTCTGAAAAGCACAATCCCAAAAGGTCAAAATCCCAAAGTACAATTCTGGAAGAAATATTAAACATTCTTTGAAAATTTATTTACATTTTTAAAAGCATATTTATTTGAGAAAAAACATGACAACATTTCATAGGCCACTTTACACGATAAAATAGGGAATAATAGCATTTTTGCAAGATATGTATACCATTGACAGTTGCACAGATGTAACAGTGATGAGCAGATGAAACATTCGTAAGGAGTAAAATATATAAATGCTTGTCACTGTGCAGGGTAATCATGGGCACCTAGCTTTATAACTGCAGTCATCTGTGACAGAAAACCTGTCTTGATGAGCTGGTTCAATAACCATTGTGTAACCAGTGCATATTTAGTCTCCCAAAGAGCCAAGGTCTTCAGAAATTTTATCCTTCACAAATGCACATGTACAAAAAAATAGATGTCTTTTCATTTATTGAGGAAGAGATGTCTATTTTTTGTACATGTGCATTTGTGAAGGATAAAATTTAACATTTTTATGCACACATATGCTTACAGTCAACATTGTGGTTGGAGTCAGTTTTTTTTTTTTTTGCGATGGAGTCTCTAGCCCAGACTGGAATGCAGTGGCGTGATCTCAGCTCACTGCAGCCTCCACCTCCTGGGTTCAAGTGATTCTCCTGCCTCAGCCTCCCGAGTAGCTGGGATTACAGGCGCCCTCCACCATGCCCCGCTAATTTTTGTATTTTAATAGAGCTGGGTGTTTGACTATGTAGTTAAGCTGGGCTCGAACTCCTGACCTCAAATGATCTGCCCACCTTGGCCTCCCCAAGTGCTGAGATTATAGGCATGAGCCACCGCGCCTGGCCGGAGTTAAATTTTTGATGTTCAAGGCACCAGAAGAAAAATCTGTCCTATCTCTTAGAGACCAATTTGCCTTCTGTATTTGTTCTCTCTGGGGCCTCTCCTATTGGATGGTGCTCACCAACATTGAAGGCACATCTTCCCCACTCAGTTCACTCACACTCCACTAATCTCTGAAAACAACTTCACAGATATGCCCCAGACAATGCTTTACCAGGTTTCTAGATATTCCTTAATCCAGTAAAATTGACACCTAAAATTAAGTCCACAATTCTGCCCCTTGTCAACTTGGCACCGTTATGTGTCTCTTTAAACCATACTTAATAAGGTAATAGTTCTGCATAACATGATGTAACTATCTTGTGTACAACCAGAAACATACTAATCCCTTCCCCTGAATTTGAAATTTTATTTTGTCCAGGTTGTGATTTTAGGGATTTTGATCTTTTAGGAGTTCAGTATTTGGGATTATGGTGTTTGGGATTGTGTCTGTCAGGATTATGATCAACACTGGTATTGGTCATCCTAGAATTTATACTAGGCAAGACCAGGCTCCCTTTTGGTCTACATAGATAATCTTGAAGGATGCATGATATTTAACATTAGTTGATTAAACTGGAGCATCCCTGGAACTTATGCTGTGAAACGGATATTTTTACACTTATTTGTTATTTCAATAGGTTTTTGGGGAACAGGTGGTGGTTGGTTACATGAATAATTTCTTTAGTGATGATTTCTAAGATTTTGGTGCACCTATGACCTGAGCAGTGTACACTGTACCCAGTGTTTATCCCTCCCCCTCTCCCCACCCTTTCCTGAATCCCCAAAGTCCATTTTATTATTCTTATGCCTTTGCATTTTCAAAGCTTAGCTCCCACTTATGAGTGAGAATGCAAGATGTTTGGTTTTCCATTCCTGATTTACTTCACTTAGAATAATGGTCTCCAGTTCCATCCAGATTGCTGCAAATGCCATTCCGTTCCTTCTTATGGCTGAGTAGTATTCCCTGATACATATATACTAGAATTTCTTTCTTTTCTTTCTTTTTTTGAGACGGAGTCTCCCTCTGTCACCCACGCTGGAGTGCAGTGGCGCAATCTTGGCTCACTGCAACCTCTGCCTCCTGAGTTCAAGTGATTCTCCTGCCTCAGCCTCCTGTGTAGCTGGGATTACAAGCATGCACCACCACGCCCAGCTAATTTTTGTATTTTTTAGTAGAGATGGGGTTTCACCATGTTGGCCAGGCTGGTCTCAAACTTGACCTCAGGTATACCACAATTCAATTTCTGTATTCACTCATTGATGGGTATTTGGGCTGGTTCCATTATTTTTGCAATTGCAAATTGTGCTGCTATAAATGTGCATTTGCAAGTATCTTTTTTGTATAATGACTTCTTTTTCACTGGGTATCTACTCAGTAGTGGGATTGCTGGATCAAATGGCAGTTCTACTTTCAGTTCTTTAAGGAATCTCCACACTGTTTTCCATAGTGGTTGTACTGGTTTACATTCCCACCAGCAGTGTAAAAGTGTTCCCTTTTCACCACATCCATGCCAACATCTATTTTTTGGTTATGGCCATTCTTACAGGAGTAAGGTGGTATCACATTGTGGGTTTGATTTGAATTTCCCTGATCATTAGTAATGTTGAGCATTTTTTAATATGTCTGTTGGCCATTTGTATATCTTCTTTTGAGAATTGTCAGTGTCCTTAGAGCATTTTTTGATGGGATTGTTTGTTTTTTTTCTTGCTGATTTGTTTGAGTTCCTTGTAGATTCTGGAATTAGTCCTTTGTCAGGTGTATAGGTTGCAAAGATTTTCTCCCACTCCATGGGTTGTCTTTTTACTCTGCTGATTGTTTCTTTTGTGGTGAAGAAGGTTTTTAATTAAGTCCCATCAATTTATCTTTGTTTTTGTTGCATTTACTCTTGGGTTCTTGGGTCATGGAGTCTTTGCCTAAGCCAGTGTCTAGAAGGGTTTTTCTGGTATTCTAGAATTTTTATGGTTTTAGACCTAAGTCTTAGAACCATCTGGAGTTGATTTTTTTTTTTTTTTTTTTTTTTTTTAGATAGGGTCTCCCTCTGTCGCTCAGCCTGGGAGTACCTGATCTTGGCTTAGTGCAACCTCTGCCTCCTGGGTTCAAGTGATTCTCCTGCTTCTGCCTCCCAAGTAGCAGGATTGCAGGTGTGCACCATCCTGCCTGGCTAATTTTTATATTTTTGGTAGAGACGGGGTTTCACCCATATTGACCAGGTTGGTCTCAAACTCCTGACCTCAGGTGATCTACCCACCTTGGCCTCCCAAAGTGCTGGGATTTCAGGTGTGAGCTGCTGCACCAACTTCGAGTTGATTTTTGTATAAGGTGAGAGGTGAGGATCCAGTTTCATTCTTCTACATATGGGTTGCCATTTATAGCTCTTTTGGGGCCTCAAGTCTTAGTCTGATAAAATGATTGAAAAATGCGGCTGGGTGCAGTGGCTCACATCTGTAATCCCAGCACTTTGGGAGTCTGAGGTGGGTGGGTCACGATGTCAAGAGATCGAGACCATTCTGGCCAACATGGGGAAACTCCATCTCTACTAAAAATATAAAAATCAGCTGGGTGTGGTGGCATGCTCCTGTAGTCCCAGCTATTTAGGAGGCTGAGGTAGGAGAATCACTTGAACCTGGGAGGCGGAAATTGCAGTGAGCCAAGATTGCCCTACTGCACTTCAGCCTTGTGGCAGAGGGACACTCCATCTCAAAAAAAGAAAAAAATAAAAAAGATTGAAAAATGCTTTCTCAACTGCAGAAGCCTGCTTACTTAAACCAAGAGGCAAATTGTATAGGCAGTCCATTTTTCCCTCACATTATTCCTAGAAAGAAATTGAAATGTGATCTTACTGTAGCTAATCACTTTGTATAGGGTAAATACTGCGATTAGAGGTTGGATTTCTGACCAAGAATATGGTATCAAATAGAGGACCAGCAGTATGCCATAAAGGCAAAAACAAAGATGGAACAATATACCTAATATCTTAAAATTTATTTAGATGTAATGTACTGATTCTACAAATTCTCCTGAAAGTCCAGTGGACACATAATGCCATGAAGTATACAGGTCTTCCATTTCAGCTGAACTGTGGCAAGTGTCAAGTGGTTTGTTAACCCTTGCTCAGCCCTACAACCTACTAAGAGCTTTAAAATACTTAATATAGGAATTGGATTTTTTTTTATAAAGCTACTCAGAGAAGCATGGACTCATGTTCCTATGTCAAATAGAAATTCAGAATTGCATTGTCTTTCGAGACCATAGTATTGGGAGAGGGAAAGTACTTTTAGTTCCACCCTGGGCCAGCAGGTGGTGAGTTTTGGACTCAGACTCTATTGACATATTTGGACTAAATAAAGCTTTGGAACCGAACAGTGAC